TCATATATTTCTGCACAACCAGTGGTTACCTGTAGTTAGGGATGGATGAGCAACTCTGGATGTAACTGCAACTTTTTTAACTGCAGCTAACCACTAGTTGTGCAGAAATATTTGAACAGCAATGGTTCCTCTTAGCCTATCATTACTTTGCGCAGGCTGTGCTGCCCCAGCTGTGTGCATATACTGCTGATTCTTGCTGCTGGAATCTGTTTTGTGCAAGAAATTGCTCAAGTCAAAGAGCCTCCACCAGCTCAATTCACTCTGCTCCCCCTCCGAGAATTCCTGCTTTATATTTACACCATTGGAGACAAGAATTCTATAAGGCCACCAAATCACTGCTGGATAAGTTGGCTGCAGAGAGGGTTTCTGTACTTTTGCTGAGAACTTTGAGGATGAATTTTTCCACATGCCTGAAGATATACAGGTCAGTAAAATCTTCTTGTAAAGCTCCTTTGCTACTTGTTAGGAATTTGCAAATCCTTGAATGTCCATGGCCTGACCAGATGTTCATTTTAATTTAATAACATTTGAGTTTGTCTAAGAATTTATCTGTTGAAGTGGAATTCCAGGCTATACCTAACTAATCTTAAATATGCTTCTTTCCCCTCCTAACACCTATACTGACTAACCTGTGTAAGAGAGATGTATATGCTTACCTACTTTAAGGCTGCTACAGTCTGGTCATGTGATTTCCCCTGTATCAGCCAGTAACAGCAACAGGGGAGAGGAGAGAGCACTTGACAATGATTGCTAATGCCTGAGAATGGTGGCATCACCCATTGGCTCCTATGGCCAAGCTGTTGTCGGCACTCCCTCCTTTCCCCTGCAGCTGCCACTGGCTAAGACAGGGGGATCATGTAATCAGACCAGAGCAGCCTGAAAATAGGTAAGTTTATACATCTTTCTTACTCAGGTCAGTCATTGTCAAGTGCTCTCTCCTCTCCCCTGTTGCTGCTGACGGCTGATACATGGGAAATCACATGACTAGACTGTAGTGGGCTTACAATAGGTAAGTATATACATCTTTCTTACACAGGTAAGTTGGCATAGGTGTTAGGAAGCGGGAGGGAGCATTTTTAAGATTAGTTGGGTATAGCCTTCAATTCTAATTTACCAAAAAAAAAAATCACACTGTTAGAAATAGATCAAGCGTACATAACCAACTAAATATAAAGGGTGGATTCTGTATTAAATGTATATTAAATTACATTTGAATGAGTAAGAGATGATTCTAACTCTGTTGTTCTTACTTTACATTCAGGTTCATTATCACAAGGCACAGAAGCACACCATTAATTATCTCATTGTAGTGATATTTTTTAAAATTGCACCAAAACGCACTAAAAAAATTACCTCTGATGCAGCTGTGTTGCAGCACACCAAAACAACTGCTGGCTCTCTACTGTATGTTATCGTGCACTGTATCGGTAAAATGAGTGCAGGAGTTTTTCTGATCAGTTGTGGTGCATTGGCAGCCCATGCAAATAAATAAGCTACCTTTTTGCTTGCGCATTATGCTTATTGATGTACAGCAGGGGTTTCCAAATGTTTTAAACAAAGGGCCAGTTTACTGTCCTTAAGACTTTAGAGGGGCCGCACTGTGACCTTTGGGAGTAGAAAATTTCCCAACATCAGTTGGAGTAAACAATGACCCATCTTTGGTGTCATTTGGAGGAATTTTGCTTTATCATTGGTGTAATTGGGCCCCATTGTTGGTGTCATTAATAGGAATAGTGCCCCATCATTGGTATGAATCGTGTCCCATCATTGGTGTAATTGGGAGGAATTGTGCCCCATCACTGGTGTAATTGGGAGGAACTGTGCCCATCACTGGCATCATTGGGAGGAATTATGCCCCATCATTGGTGTCATTGGACCCCATTGTTAGTGTCATTGGGAGGAACTGTGCCACATTATTGGTATCATTGGTAGGAATTGTGCCCCATCACTGGTGTTATTGGTAGGAATTATGCTCCATCATTAGTGCCATTGGGCCTCATTGTTGGTGTCATTGGGAGGAACTATGCGCCATAGTTGGTGTCATTGGCAGGAACTGTCCACCATTGTTTATGTGCCAGACATTTTTTATACTTTGGACTGAGGGGGGAGAAGGGGGAGAACCTTTATTGGGTTTTAAATGCTGTGTCCCCTTATAAGAGATTTTTAATACCTTCCTGTTATCTCTGACACTTGTTACTTGAACGAAAAGTAAGGGGAAATATTGTAATGAGGACACAGACAACATTAAAATCCCATCTAATGTCCTAAACCTTGCTCACTGTAATAGAAATGTTGGGTTTATCACTCTCTGAGTCCCTTTTGGGGTATTTCCTCTGTTTGCCTGTTCTTTATTACACCATACAGATAAACAGGTAATGGAGAAATTTTCTCTGTCAGTTCTTTCAACAGTCTGGCAAATAGAGATAAAGTGAGAAGAAATCTCTCTATTTGGAATAAAGAGATCAGCAAAGTTTGATAGAATTATTAACTGTTGGAATACAGTGTTCATGTATTTTGTACAGCTACATCAGAATTCAGTAGAGATATTTTCGTCAAACAGTAGATGGAAATATTTATAAGTTTATATCTGCACCTATGGTACTGTGTACCCTAAGTCTTTTCACTGAACAAAGTTTCCTGTTTCCTGGTTGCAGTTAGGCAAGAAGAAAAATGCATGTGGAATGTGCACTGTCTGTTCTGTAGAGCTATATACAGACTTTCTAATAGGTTATGGGCCCAGAAGCATAGAAATCCTAGTCGTAGCCTGTTACAGCAAATAAGTGCAAGATAAAGCAACAAAAAGAAGACTGCAACAGAATAAAAGAAAATGGCCAGTAACACAGCTGCAGCAAAGCTTTCATTTGCAAATATGACAAACCAGAACTACTAATCTTGGAAATTCAAGATGAAAATGCTGCTAATAAGAGAAGGTACGTGGAAATGTATTAATGAAGTCAGGCCAGAACACCCTTCAGATGAGTGGATAGATAAAGATCAGAAAGCTGAGAGCACAATCTTAGCATAGAAGATAAATAAATCGTACATATATGTAACCGTGAAACTGCTAAAGAAATGTGGGAAAGATTACAAAAGATGCATGAAACATGCTAATCCCAGCAATAAACTGTATTTAATTACAAAGCTATACCAAACCAGGCTGATGAAAGGCCAGGATATGCAGGATTACATAAGGCACACCTTGGAAATGGTTAAATGCCTGAGTAGTAGGAGATGAAGTAAAAGATTTTCATGTTGCAGCACTATTTCTTAGTGGTTTACCAGAAAGTTATGAAACACTTGTCAGAGCACTTGATGCACGTCCAGATGATGAACTGACATTGGAATATGTTAAGGGCAAGCTTATGGATGAATATAAGCGTAAAACAGAAAGCATTAATAGTGACGTGCTTCTGTCGCTTTAAAGACGAAAGATGGAAATAAAAACAGTAACATGCAACAAAAAACATGTAAATGCTTTGTATGGAAGAAGCAAGACCATTTAAAAGCAGATTTAGAATTTAGAGTACAAAAACAATCTAAACTACAAAAGGACAAAAGTGTGAAGGAAGAAATTAATTTTTATTCAGATAATAAATATGTTTTTCAATCCAAAAGTTGCACCTCATCTTTGCAGGCATGGTGTGTTTTTCTTTTTTCACCTTGACCAGAGTGAAACAGAAAAAATCACCACAGCTAATAGGCAAATAACAGAATCAGAAGGAATAGGAGATGGTTTTCTTTACTGTCCTATTTCTCAGAGTGTCAACAGAAAGATACACGTGAAAAAGTCCTATATGGCCCTGCTATTGAAACTAATCTTTTGTCGGTAAAGAAGTTCACAAAACAAGGCAATATAGTGACCTTCCAAGGTGACAGTTTTGCCATCACAGAAGGGGATATCTCACTTGCAAAGACTAAAATTAAAGATGCCAACCACATACTGGGGGGGGGGGGGTGATTTATGACCGCATACTATCTCCAAAATCAACTACCAGGAAAATAAACTGAGAAAAATCCATATGAACTGTGAAATGCAAAGGTCAGAAATTTGAAGCATCTAACAATTTATGGAAGCAAAGCCTATGTGCACATCCCAAAGGAAAAACTTACAAGATGGGATGCTCATGGAAAGGAAGGTGTACTTGTGGGGTACAGTGAATCTCAAAAGGGATACAGAATTCTACAACAAGAAACAAACAAGGTAATGATTAGCAGAAGTGTAATTGTCAATGAAAGTTCAGAGTATTCAAAATGTTATGAACACAAACACCTCAAACTAGTGGAAATCCCACATCAGTATCACATGAAGATGAGCAACAAAGTGACACAGAAAAATATATTAATGCAGAAAATCTAACTATTGAAAAAAGGAAGAAACCAGGCCACAAGAGGCTTCATTCAGGAAATCCAACTGAAGCAATAAAGGCATTCCAGCCAAACGTCTGTCCTATGTTGTTCGAGTAGCATTAAAACCAGAGCCAGATTCAAGGATGAGATGCAAAGACTTTCCAAACCATGAGAAACAAAAGTGGAACAGAACTGAAATCTGAAATGGTACTAATATAAGGAGTAGTTGTTGAGTGGGGGTGTTAGAATACAGTGTTCATGTATTTTGTTCAACAACTACATTAGTATCCAGTAGCGATATATTCTTCAACCAGTAGATGGCAGTGTTTATTTGTTTGTAAATGCATCTATGGTACTGTGTACTCTATGTCTTTGCATTGAATAATATTTCCTGTCTCCTGGTTACAGTTAAGCAAGCAGAAAAGCACATGCGGAATGTGCACTGTTCTGTAGGGCTATATACAGAATTCTAACATTAACCCTATCCTATTTTATCTGAATATATTAGAAGCTGCACTTTTATTCTATTAAAGTAATAGAAAATATTATCAAGTTGTATTATATGGTTATTATATTTCCTCTGATGCTTATAGAGTTGTGTTATATAATTATTATATTTCCTCTGATGCTTATAGTCTGTGTGTTACTTCTAGGCTGGCAATGTGGTTACAGGAGAAATGGTAGAAGAGTTAATACTTTCAGGTGCTGACATCATAAAAGTAGGAATTGGACCAGGTGAGTACAACAGTTTCTTTCTAATATAAACACATGAAACTAAAAACATAACTTTTAAATATATGGCTTTGTTTCCTATTTTAGTCAGTGTCAGATTTTCATAAAGAGAATTGTTGTAATAAATACGAAAAACATATAATCAATACGTTATATGTGCAGGTAGCTGGTCCTGGATTCACTAGATAGTAAGCCACCAAGCACACTGAATGGTGGTTAGGATATTCTATAGTAAGGGCTCGTTCACACTTGGCTGTTTTACCAATGTTTGCCAAACGCTCCTATAGAGTTTGGCAAGCGTTGGTCCGGCGTTTGCAGAGCGTTTTTTAACGCTCGGCAAACGCTCTGCAAATGCCGCATGCGCGGTTTAGCGGTGGTTGCTAGGCGTTTGCCGAGCGTTAAAAAACGCCCCACAAACGCCTATAATGCAGTTTTTTGAATGGTGTTACCGCTCCGCAAATGCCCCGCAACCACATCGCAACCGCACCGCAAACGCCAGCTAGGCGTTTGCGGAGGGGTACCATAGAATAGAATAGGAGGCTGCAACGCCTCCTGACTCGACCATAGGCGTCCGTTTTGCCACAACGCGACGCAAACGCTCCCGTTAGAACAGCACCATGTGCTGTAATGTGCAGAATTGGTAGAGGCGTTTGGGAAGCGGTAAAAACGCTTCCCAAACTCCTCTCTGCCGCCTTCACACAACGCTAGTGTGAACGTAGCCTAAAGAAGAAAAAGGAGAGTCAAAAAGATGAATCGATGAAGTGGTTAGGTGCATTATCAGTTGAAAGACAATATGTTTTGGAGATAACAGAATCTCCCACTTCAAGTCTTAGATGTGCTTTTGACTTGGCAGAAGAAAGTCACTGCTGCTAGTGTAAACTTTGGGTGCATTGTGTGTTCCTGGTAATAAAGTCTTGATCTAGTGAAGTATGTAGGCAGCAAACCAGTCCACAGCATCTATGCTAAGTCCTAATCCAAGCAGCAGAAAAGAATTACCCTTGCAAAGGGCTTTTTTTTCAAAGAATAGGTGTAGGAACTCCCCCCTTTCCGAGTTGCCTCTTGTCTCCGCCTTCTTCCTACCTCTGAGCGCCATTCCTTGGTTCAACCTCCTACCCACCTCCTAGTGCTGCCCCTTTTATAGAACACAGACCCAGGTATCATATTGTGTTGCTAAGTACTTTGTGTGGAATTTGGTAATGATAGCAAGAAAATCAGTTTAAAACAGCTCCAGCAACAACAGATATCCCCTCTCCCCAGCAACAGTAGACCTTCCCACCAACAATGGACCCCCCTATAAAAAAAACCCTAGAGCAACAATAGATCCCCCCAGCAACAGTAGACCTTCCCACCAACAATGGAGCCCCCTCCCAATAAAATACCCCTCCAGCAACAATAGATCCCTCCCAGCAATAATTGACAAACCAGCAACATAAGACCCATCCTCAGCAACAATAGATCCCCCACCAGCAACAATAGACCTCCCCAGCAACAACCGATTCCCTCCACAAAAATAGATCTTCTCCAGCAACAGTAGATCCCTTAGCAGCCAGCAACAATAGACTCTCCGGCACACCCCAGCACCCTTTGCCATTACATACTCCAGTGCTGGAGATTTCAGAACTACGCTCCCCCACATTCCTGCTGAAAAGAAGCCCTGCCCTTGCAGTAGATCTACCATTAACCATGTAGTGCAAGGGCTTGCCTGATCTGATACAAACTGAATGGAGGGAGTGGATGGAAACATTCGGTGGTCAGGCTCCATTCACATCTTTGAGCAACTGGGACTCACGTTCTCACATGCATCTTCTTTGGCGTTTTGGAGCATTTCCACCCATCATGCATAGGGCAGCTCTTTCACTTGAATGGGGTGCCCTACACATGACAAATACCACAAAGAAGTTCAAGACATTTTTTGGAGCATAACATGGTACGTGTTTACCACGCTCTTTTGGTGTGTTTGCAGAGCATTTGTCACAGGGCAAACACATACCTGCTACCTGCACTGGGGTGCATTTAACATTTAATGACAGTGAAAGCACAATGCACATTTGCAGTACATTTCTGAAATGCATGGCAGCAGACATTTTTTTTGTGCAGTTTTTCATGCGTTTGGAAATGCACAGATATTAATGGAGCCTCATTGTTCTTGTGTATACGCACCAACTTCACTTTCAGGCCCCATTCACACCTAGTGTAGCAGTGTACATTTTGGCTCTTTTTCTTTGTGACACGCACAGTACAGCCCATTGACTTCTATAGGTTGCCCTACATGTGGCAAAGTAGCTCATGGGGCATTTAGGTGTGTACATTTCTGCACATTTTTTACTGCACATTTTGCTGCATTTGTCGCTTGTTTCTTCATGCGGCAAAATGTGTGTTTGCTTCTGGGTGCCGTTAACAATTATTGTCACTGAAAGCTTGACTAGTTCATTTTAGGTGTATAAAGTTGGCTATACACTATACAATCTGATTGTACAATCTCTGTACAATCTCCTTTACATTTACCAAAAACTTAATAAGGAGGACACACCATCTCTCCAACCACTCTGTATCCAATCAGTCAGGCCCTTGCACTACATAGTTCATCAGACTGCATAGAGTATGAGGAGCTTACATGACTTCCAGGACACACTTCTCCTGTTTTTAATACTACAACTCTTCTCCACAGTGGCTGTGATCACTCAGCTCCTGCACACTCTGCCAAATGTATGATCTATTCAATGTAAGGCAGAAAAAAAATGATGGCTGTATATTTAGCAAGAATGGTGATCACCTATAGAGGTGTGTGGGAGCAATCCAACCATGGCACTACCTGCGTGGAGTTTTCATGTTCTCCCTGTGCCTGTGTGGGTTTCATCTGGGTACTCCGGTTTCCTCCCACACTCCAAAGACATGCTGGTAGGTTAATTGTCTCCTGTCTATATTGGCCCTAATATGCGTATGAATGTGACTTAGAGATAGTAGATTGTATGCTGCTTGAGGGCAGGGACTGATGTGAGCGTACAATATATATGTAAAGTGCTGCATAAATTGATGGCGCTATATAAGTAGCTGTAATAAATAAAATAAATGTAAAATCACCTGGAGGAGGATGGAGGCAGGTGCAGGGTGTGTATGTTAAAGAGGTCAGTTGATGAACTTCTTCCTTCTACTGGTTCTCCTGTCCTGAATACCAAATTCAGAACAGCTAATGGAGGAGTTTTCAACAGGACATTGAGGCTGAGAGAAAAGGCCTAGTCTAGGGGAAATTGAAAGTTTTATCTTTTCTGCAAAATAATTACATTCATGATATATTGGTACAGGGAAGCTGGAATTTTGAAAAAAAGGTGAATTTAGCTTTTGAGTCTAAGGGCAGAGGCATAAGCTGTAATATACTTATCTTATCCCTCTACCTAGCAGGGCTTCCACCACACTGTACAAGAAGTCCCCCAAAGACATGTCTCTTTGGTGCTCTGTCTGGCATTTGCATTCTAATGGAATCCCATATAATACAGAACCAGCAGTCCTGCATTGTATCGGAGGATGGTGATGGCCCGTCCACAACCAAGAGTGCCATATCCCAGATAGCTTAACCTCACAGATGTCTCATTTTTGGAAGGCTAAGGCCCTGTTTCATATAGGACATTTGGTGGATGTTAGTACTAGGACCTTATGTTCCTCCCAAGACCTTCAAAATGCTTATGATCTCCCTAAACAAGCATTTTATGGTTACCTACAAATCTGTTATTATGACCATTCTTTAACTAAATCTCTACAATTGTTTAAATTGACAGCATTTGAAAAAAAAATTAACTAGCTGGCCCTACGAGTAAGGGACACATTTTCTAGACCTATAAGGTGCTTACTATACCTGTCCAATCCTTTGTCAAATACATATTATATGAAGAAATGGGAGCAAATTCTGGAAGTCGAAATGCCTTTGGAAACGTGGCAGATAATATGATCTCAAGCTTCTAAAAGCTCAATGTATACTCTAAATACAGAGAACCAATATAAAATTCCTTTCTATTGGTACCAAACACCACTACTCTGACAACAGACATTGGAGATGTAGGAGTAGCTTAGGGTTGATCCAACATATATACTGGTATTACCCACTCATTAAATCTTATAGGTATGCTGTACATACCCTTATCCACCATCTTTTTGACTCCTGGATCCCCTTTACTCCTAAAACATACCTTTTGGGACTACCTCTCTACAATTTCTCTAAAATGTCTAAACGACTTCTGGCGGATATACTTATTGTAGCAAGATGCTTAGCAGCCCTTAACTAGAGATGTGTGGAACCTCCCTCCTTAGCAGAATTACTTATTAGGATCTGTGATGTCTAAAGGATGGAATATCTGTTTCTCACAACAATTCCCTGGACTAACATAATAAGATTTGGGAACTGTGGCAGATTATAGAAACACCTCCTTGAACATCTCAATAATTGATCATGGCTTAAAAGAAAAATTACTGTGTAAGAGTAATCCCTTGAATTTTAAACTAGACATTGCCTCTATCACACGTTTATGACTCATCCACCATGTCTAGAAAAGGAATTTCCCTATTTTGTGAGCAGCTCTCATGACTTCACCAAGACTGAAACAATTCTAAAATGGGAACAAGACTTGGGCCTAACATTCCCAGATTTTAACTGGCAACTTTCATTTCCTTTTTTTATTTATCGTTTTTATTTTTTTACTCACTTTGGCCCTCCCCTGCCTTCATTAATGCCTAAGCAAGAATGACATTTACTCTGCTCCAGCAGCTTCCTGCAATATCCATATGTGATATCCCAGGAAGTATGAACTTCCATACAGACTGTGGCTGGAGGAGAGCAGACCTGGTGTTGCTTCAACAATGGCCAGCTACAAGAACCCTGAAGAGAAAGCTAGCTCTAAATGATGTAAGGAAAGAATATGTCAGCACAAGACCCAGTGTGCATCAGCAGAGCAGTGTGTAGACAGGTTTGCCTACTATATTTAAGTTAACTACTCGGCTGCCTAGATTGGGGG